AACTGGAGGGGGGAAAATACATTAAAAAAATCAAATGTTACCTCCATTCTTTTAAAATGGATTTTTAATCACTTTTACATCATTTTAAATAGTTTGTTTTGCTCACTGTAGCTAACCGCTTTGTGTGTCATTGTCAACTCCAAATGTGGTCAAATATTTTCATTTTGTCTTTTTATTATTGGTCTAATGATATATCCCTGCCTTAAATTATCCAACGCTTAAGCATCCTAGTCACATCTCTTGAATTTCCTACTCAATCCCTATGTAAAAGTGTTTTGTTCCTTATCATAGTTTAGACCAGTGGTTCCTCTGCGTGACTAGCGTTCACTTTTTGAGTAAAGTAAAAATTACCATATTTTTCGAAGTATAAGAAGCACCAGAGTATAAGATGCACCAAGGTTTTGAAGAGGCAAATTAAAAAAAAATTTGCACTCTGCAAACCTCCCAAAACTGCTCAATTTTTTGCGAAAATGGCCGTTTTTTGTTTAAAAAGCCTCTAGGCGGCTTATAGAGTGTTCCTGAGGGCTGGGGGGGGGGGAGAAATTGAGAAAAAAAAGCCTCCGATATGCGTGGCCATTTTGATGAAGGGGGCAGGGTTTTGGGAGGGAAAAAATGCTGTATTCAGTGTATAAGACACACCCAGATTTTCAGCCTTCTTAAGAGAAAAAGGTGTGTCTTATACCCTGAAAAATATGGTATATGTCATGGGGAGGGGATCAGGATTTTAGAGATGCTTAGGTGGGGCATGCCAAAAAAAAAAGTTGGGAACCACTGGTTTAGACTTATATATATATATCCCTATTCACAATCTTCTTTCTTAGTTTTGTAATTTCATCTTTTCTCCAGTCAGAAATGAAACATCATTTCCCCTTTACGTTTCTGAATTGAGGAGCCTCATTATGAGGTAACATTTCTGGAATATCCAAGGGTTTTCAGCTTCTCCTCCATTTTGGAACTGGTTTTCTTTTTTCTTTCTCTTCAGAGTGTTTGGGGCCAGAAGAGACCGTGCAGCCCGGGGTGTTCGTCAGAAGAGGCTGGAGGGGTCTCTGCCCTTTGTGCTTCCCCCTTCACTGTGAGGTTGAGGGAATAATTTGGGAAGGGCAGCTGTATGTATTGAATTAAAGAAATAAATCAATAAAAACAATCATTTTCCTGATTGTGGCTTCTCTGCCTGTGTCCCGTATTCCTCCACTTAAGGCCAAAGTTCTCAACAAGCGGAAGAACCAAGTGGTGTTTCCCAGAGAACCTCCAGGTCCTTCTCTTCTGACTGCCCAACGGTTTCTGACAGAATTTGGACCCTTTTGAGGCCTCTTCAAGCTTTGCGGATCCTTCAGGGTGGCGAGTTTAAATCCCCCAGAGAGATTTTTCTCCATCTCCACAGACGGTTCTTGGACAAGAAGGAGAAGATGATGGAGAAAGTGCCGCCTCTGCAGACGTTGAAGCCACTGCTACTCCCATCCCCATCATCCCGGCCCTTCCCTCAGACGCCTTCCTCTTTCCCGCGCTTTGCAGGGAATCCTGTAAATTTACGCAAAATCCACTAGGGGGCGCCTGCTACCAAGAGTAGGGAACATCAGCCGCTTCCCTATTGGCTCACTGGAGTGCGAACGTCACAGAGGGCTTTCCAGAGCATGCTGCGAAGGAAACAGCATCCTATAGCCTGGCCGATCTAGGACTCCGCACTCGCTCTCCATAGCCCCTGGGGCTCCGCAGAAGGCTGAGAGGCTGCGGGAGAGGTTGGCGGGGGAGATCCACATGTGGCCCGGGTGAGTTAGGGGCTCTTCCCAGGCAAAGGAAGGCGGAGGAGGAAGAGACACGCGCCCTGCCGTCCTCCGGCTTAAACCCCGGGTCCCATGCTCCTCAGCCGTCCTCACCATACAGGGGGACGCGGGGATGCCGGGAAGGTGGAGGGGATCCGGAAAAGAACCCAAGGTGGGGAGGAGGGTCGGCCTTGCGGGGG